GCAGTGTCACTGGCCCTCATATGTGGGATCCGAACCGGGGCCCTCTGGCATCCCAAGCGAGTTCTTAACCATCGCGCCACTCGGCCGGCCCTAGGAGTGGAATTATTGAGTTATAGGGTATATATTTACTTGAATAGTTGTTTTCCCTCACTTTATTTTTGAAAATATGGAACCTACAAAAATAGCAAGCATACTAAAATAAGAATCATGTCCCTTTATCTCGATTCATCAATTTTTGCCCATTTCCTTCACAGCCCTCTGTACCTCTGTTTGTGAGTCATCTGAGTGTTGGTTGTAGACGTGATGACAGTTTACCCCTAAGTGCTTCTCCCGAGACCGAGGACATTCTCCTGTATAACCACAACACAGTCATCACACTCAAGAAGTTCAATGTTGGTGAAATAGTATTATCTAATAATACATGGTTCATATTTAAAAACCCCACTTATCCCAGTAATGTCCTTTATGACTTAAAAAAAAATATGGATATGGGATTCAATCCAGAATCATGCATTGCATTTATTTTCATGTTTCTTCAGATTCTGTTCATCTAGAAGAGTTCCTTGCCTGTTCTCTTTCATTATGTAGATATTTTTGAAGAGCTTGGGTCAGTTGCTTTGCACACAGTCCCTCAATTTGGACTGGTCTCAGTGTCCTTCAGGATTTGATTCAGGATAAGCCTTGTTGGTAGGAGAAAGACAGCTCCTTTCAGTTAACAAAAGTAGTCTCTGGGTCAGTACTTTGTAGCTGTAAATATCCAGTGCCCTAATATACATATGTGTGTCTGTATAAATAACTTAATGTATTATTTTTATTGAGGTGAAATTACTTTAAAGTGAACAATTCGCTGTATTCACAAATGTTGTACAGTCACCACCCCACCTCTGTCAAGTTTCAAAACATTTCATCTGCTCCCCCTTCTCTCTGTGGCTCCTGGCAACCGCCAATCTCCATTCTGCCTCTATGGATTTACCTACCCTGAATATTCCATATAAATGGAATTATTCTGTATGTGACCTTTTGTGTCTGGCTTCTCTCACTCAGAATGTTTTCAAGGTTCACCCATGTTGTACATGTATCAGAACTTCATCTCTCTTTGTTTTTTTACTTTTTTTTGTTTTGTTTTTTTACTTTTTTAATCATTAGTTTCAGGTGTATAAAACAGCATAGTGATTAGACATTTACATGCCTCACAAAGTGATAACCCCAGAAGTGTACTACCCATCTGGCACCGTACATAGTTATTAAAGTACCATTGACTATATTCTCTATGCTGTATTTTATCTTCCATGACTATATAACTTTTAAAATTATAGTTGACATTCAATATTACTTTATAGTAGTTTCAGGTGTACAGCATAATGGTTTTAGGCATTTGTATAATTTACGAAGGGCTCCCCCAAAATAATCCTCCCTGGCGCTATGTATAGTGTACAGTATTATTGACTATATTCCTTCATAGTTTATTTCACATCCCTGTGACTATTTTGTAACTACCAATTTGTACTTCCTAATCCTTTCACCTTCCTCACCTGCCCACCTCCCTCCTTTCTAGCAACCATCAGTTTGTTCTCTGTATCTATGAGTCAATTTCTGTTTTGTTTGTTAATTTATTCTGTTCTTTAAATTCCACATATAAGTGAGATCATATGGTCTTTGTCTTTCCCAGTCTGACTTCTTTCACTTAGCATAATATCCTCTAGGTCCATTCGTGTCCTTGCAAATGGTAGGATTTTATTCTTTTTTTATATCAGAGTAACACTCCATTGTATAAATGTACCACAGTTTCTTTATCCAATCATCTGTTGATGGGCATTTCTGTTTCCATATCTTGGCTATTGTGAATAGCGCTGCAGTAAACACAGGGGAGCATATATTTTTTTTGAGTTAGTGTTTTGGATTTCTTCAGATAAATACCGGAAATGGAATTGCGGGGTCTTAAGGTAGTCCCATTTCCAGTATTTTGAGATACCTCCATACTAATTTCTATAGTGGCTGCACCAATCTGCAATCCCACCAACAGTGCACGAGGGTTCCCTTTTCTCCACATCCTAACCAAGACTTGTTTGTTGATTTATTGATGACAGCCATTCTGACACCTGCCTCTCTCTGTTTAATTACTACAGTTCCTTTTTGTGCTGCCAAAATTCTTGAAGCACTTTTTCTTTAGGCAGATTTTTCTTTCATGAGATTCTGCAAAAGAATAGGTGATACAGTTTAAAATTCAGGGCTTGATTTGCGTCTGTTTAAAACATTTTTTGTGTTTTAAGAGAAAATAATATTGTTACATGTTACAATTGTGTACTTATCCTGCTAAGAATCATGATGAGTTTATATTTTCAAGGTAATGTTAGACTTTAATTCCTTTGTGTTATATACCTATGTATGGGGGTGGGTTTATTTGTTTATTAATAAGCTTGTTGAGGAATTTTTTCAAAAGGCATGGTCATGCCTTTAAAATAGTGATTAAAATGGAAAAGAGTTTTAATAATAAAGTGATACAAATAAAGAGCATCTCTTAATCTTTCCATTTCTTTACACCTGTAGTTTCTGAACAGTAAATAAATTCTAGCTTGTGGTTATAATAAAGAATCTCCAGGATTCTGTTCCTAACAGTTTTTATAACTAAAGGAATGAAATTTTCTATGGTCCTTGGAAACATCATTTGTTATACATCAAATATAACAGTATTTGTAATTTTAAAATTTCCCCTCTATTACTGAAAGCAATTATAGTTAATTCCTTTGAACTATCACTGGAAGAGTAAATAGATGATACATCTGCTATTTCCACTATTACAACATTTTAGAAGTTCTTTAAGTCTCAGCATCCTTGTGGCATTACATTAGAGCATTGGTTCTTGCCTGGGAGGAGGGCGCCACTGTGATTTAGCGGGCAGAGGCCAGGGATGCTGCTAAACATCCTACAATGCACGGTATCTGGGGCCCCCCGCCCCCGACACACACAGAATTGTCAGGCCCCCAATATCCATTGTACTGCTGTTGAAAAGTCCTATACTGGGGCTAAACCTTATGAGGTTTGCAGAGATAACCTCTTCAGATTGTTCGGAAAGAATAAGTAACTACCATTTAATGATCAGATTTATGTTTCCAGAGATAAAATTGTCCATGGAGTTGAAAGATGATGGACCTGGCATGCTGACATTCTTCCAAGCTGTGGCTCTAGAATGAGAGCATCAGAATCACATGTGGGGCTTATTAAACCCTCGGTTGCTAGGAGGACTTCTTCTCACGAACTCATGTTGGGTCTGCCTTCTGAGGATCTGATGTCAAGGCGCATCTGTGATTTCACGGCAGTGTCTGTGCACAGTTCTAGCTTGTCTCCTGCTAGTGCTTCAGCTCAGGACGGTCTCATCTTTATGGAGTAGACCTCTACACACCCTCGCTGCCCAACTCCTCCCCCTCCGATTCTGCCTTTTCTTGAGGCTACAGAAGCTATTGGTATCCCTGTGCATTATGTAAATACAGGTCTGAGACTGCTCCCCAGGCCCTACCTCCCATTACAGGTGAAGGCTCAGCCTATCACTGCCGGGCTTGGCACTTGCCTTGATCCATGTGTGCAGAGCAAAGCTCAGCAGGGACAGCCTTTGGCTGAGTGGGGAGTGTGGGCTCTTGGAGTTGGGCAGGTTCTAGCAGTGTCACAAGCGTGCACACTCAGTAAGTGTCTTTATGTGGCAGAAGGGCTCAAAAGCTTCCTCGTGGGGGGTGAGGATTGAATGGGATAAATTGTCTGAAAGACCTGGGCACTAGTGTCTAGCAGGCATTCAGCAGGTAGGATGTAATGTTTGTGTTGCCAGCTGTATCCAGAGGTCCTTTCAGTGTTAACCTTCCCTTCCCCCAATACCCTGTTTTATACCTTCCTTCATCTCTGCCCATCGCCGTTTAGACAGAAGCAAATTCCGTACTGTTGGTGGTATCATCTCAGAGGTTAGAAATTCAACCTGGGGACCTGCAGGGGATTTATAGTTTAAATAAGTGGGATTGTTATACTGCGCTAGAAAAGGGGCGTTTTTGTGTGGTGTGCATCCAAGACTTGTTCACTACTGTGCTCATGACTACTGGGATCTAGTTCTTAGCAGTATAAACTGTTCCTTTTACTTGTTCCTATATTTTGCTCTGATTCCTGTCCTTCTCTGTCTATTTATTGCTTCTAAATTTGTTGTGGTTAGACAACCTGGATTATCAAATTTAAAACTATATCCAGGTTCAGGGCAAGTAGGGTGTGAGTTGCTGGCCTGGAATGGGGATGAAGCTGGGGTTGGGTGCTTGTCAGTGTTGGGGGAGAACAGATGCTCCTACGGCTGTAGGTGGTGACCACCCAAGTAGCTCACAGGTTTTGGTAATTGCGGTTGTGGGCCAAGTTTTCTTCCATGGAGCTAGTGGTGAGCTAAATGAACTCAGTACCTTTTGGGGCAATTGAGAGGATTAAATTGAAAGAAGGATCTTTTGGCATAATAAGACTCTGAGACGAAATTCCCTTTTCTTCCCTCCCATATCTATGCCTCTTGTGGATAGATCACCTTGCTCGACCGTTTTTCTCTGGGAACTCCTGTCATACCACTTGCTGGTTTTTAATGCTCTTCTCTGCATTTCAGGCAAAGTCGTGCATCTGTCATGTTTGTGGTATCCACCTGAACAGGCTTCACTCTTGCCTCCACTGTGTCTTCTTCGGCTGTTTCACAAAGAAACATATTCACGAACATGCGAAGTCGAAACGGCACAATCTGGGTAAGGGGCTTGCTCTCCCGAGGTCTCACTGGGCATTGGCAGTAGTCAGTGCCCTTGACTTTGTGTCCTTGGAATTTAGATGTGCAGTTCTACTCTTCCAGAAGTCCACTTATTTTCTCTAAAATAATTTGTGTCCTCCTTGTGAAACTCGACAGGGGGAATGAAAGAGATAAACTGAACTCAAATGGATTATTGTACCCACCTTGCCTTATGGCATTTAAGTTGGTGTTAATATTTTGTGCAACCTTAAATGATAAATTCTGGTGACTTATATTCAGCTAACTTTCTTTGAAAAATGCTTTTTCTTTAGTGGAATATCAGAGCCTCAATTTCCCTGTGAAAAACATGGTTGGGAATAGATTAGACAAAAATTTGCAAAGAAAGCTCTTAAATGCAGTACGTATTAGGTTATTGATGTCAAAATGGAGTTGGGTGTACCTAGGTGATTTTTATTGCTTTCAGTAATGGAGTTCATTGTTCTCAACAATGCAAATTCATGAAAAGGCTAACAACACTGTGTGGTATCAAGATACATTTACCTTTCATATACTTACAAATTTAAACTCATAACATTTTGGAAGTTATCATAAAGCAAAATTCTGCTCTTATATTTCTGAGTGTGCTCATTAAATACTTTCCTCCTTCACAATAGTGTCTGCTGTGAAATGATTGTGAGGTTGTTAGAATATCCTTCAGAAAATCACTTTCAAAAGGTATAAGCCAGAGAACCTGTTTTGGAAAATACTTCATGTGAGCCTATCAATTCCAGTTAAAGATATTTTTAGGCCTTTTAAAAAAATACTTCTGTAATCTTGTGCTTTCTTGAAAACATTAGCCTAAAAAGCCTTAATTGAAAATGGCATTCCACAAGTTGATAAAATCAGTGCTTTAATCCGTGTCCCTTAAAGCTCCATATAAGCAGTGCACATAGCAAATGATAAAGCTGAGATTGACGTAAATAGTATGTCTATTTTTTTTCTTAATCTTTTTTTGATTTAAGGCAAACCAAAGCTCTCTTATATGATGTGTTCATGCGCCAGTTATTTTATTACAGACACAGGCAAGCACCTCAGTATTGTGCTGTTTGCAATAGCTGCAATTATAATGGAAACATGAATTTCTAGGTGACATGTGCTAGTTCATATTAAGGAAAGCGTGAAAATTCACACAACAAAGTCTATTCCTCACTTCATTTTATAATTTACTTCAAATTTTAGGATGTTTGTTGTGGTGGGTTTTTTTTAAATTTTTTAAATTTAAGGTAGTAGAGATGAAATGTGTCTAGTTGGACACATCTTATTTGGAACTGATAACTTATAGCAAGCATTTGCAGAATGGCTGCTTGGAATTTGGGGCTCAGATTGTGACAGTGAGCTACCTGGCCTTTTTGGAAGGAAAGCTAATGACTCTGATAGTGCTCATCAGCTGTGGATGAGCAGACTGCCCCGTCCCATGGAAGGACAGAGCAGCAAGTGTGACCGCTTCTTACATTGAGTAACCAGAGGGAAAAGACACTGACCAGGACTGTGGATGGGTCAGGATTCTGTGTAGCTACTTGACGTAGATCTTGGCTTGTCAAAAAGTCAAGGTTATCTGGTCAGAGGATAATTTACTGCTATTCTTGCAGAAAGATTGGCAAGTAACTATTGCGCTCCTTTTTTATAATAGTACCAGGAATTCTAGATGTAGTAAAACATAGTTAACTGTATGTCAGGCCAAGTATCCTGATGGACTGATAAGACTCCGTGAAGTTTCCCCTTGTTTTGAATATCGCTGTTTCAGAGAAAAGGCAGAGTTCCCCGATACTTGACTATTGTGTCTTTTGTAAAATATGGATGTGGCACCTCGTTCTCACTCAGATTCCTTTGTGTGAGCTTCCAGAGAAAAGATACATACTTCTTCTGTGTAGGATAAGCTACCTGAAGAGGGAGGAAATCCTTTTGTAATAAGAGTAGGGAAATGGTACAAATGGTCCAACGTCTTAAAAATGTACATGTCTAATTTGTGTTCTGCAGCATTACCTTTTTGTTTTTAATTACATTTTGTCTCTCTTCCCTCCTTTGTTTCTTTAGCCATAGAGCTTATGTATGGAGGTATCTACTGCTTTTTGTGTCAGGACTACATATACGACAGAGACATGGAAATCATTGCCAAAGAGGAGCAACGGAAAGCTTGGAAAATGCAAGGTTTGGTTTTGCTGAGATTTATATGCCTGATTTGTTTCTTAAGTCCTGTGTTTCCTTATGTCTGTCAAGGGCAAAAGTCACCAAGAGAAAGACCAATATCTAGGAAGAGAGTCAGTGTAGGGAGATAGGTGAAGGTAGGAAGAGCCCCCACAAACCTGCTTACTCCCTCCTGTAGGCTCCCTGTGGAGCCAGCCTAGGATCCAGGACAGGCAGGTTAGAGGACTAGCTGTGTAGGTACCGCTTCCCACGGCTTCCTGGAGCTGTCCCCTGCCCCAATCTCCCACAGGCCCGTGGCTGCTGGGAGGGGCTCTGTTGGGCTTAAGAAAGAATGTGCAGGGCCGGCCGAGTGGCGCGATGGTTAAAAACTGGCTTGGGATGCCAGAGGGCCCCGATTCCGATCCCACATATGAGGGCCAGTGACACTGCCCTCCACAGCTAAGATGCTGAACAACAGCTCAACCTGGAGCTGGGCTACCATGAGTCGCCGGCAACAGCGTAGGCTGCAGCCCCTGTGGCAGTGGGTTGCCATGGGCTACCGTACGTAACAAGCAGCCAGCGTGAGCGGCCAGCAGCCGCAGTGAGCGGCCGCCCAGAAGCCGGCGACTGATCTGCCTCGCCAGGGAAGAGCGCAACTCTTGGAGTTGGGCAGGTTCTAGCAGTGTCACAAGCGTGCACACTCAGTAAGTGTCTTTATGTGGCAGAAGGGCTCAAAAGCTTCCTCGTGGGGGGTGAGGATTGAATGGGATAAATTGTCTGAAAGACCTGGGCACTAGTGTCTAGCAGGCATTCAGCAGGTAGGATGTAATGTTTGTGTTGCCAGCTGTATCCAGAGGTCCTTTCAGTGTTAACCTTCCCTTCCCCCAATACCCTGTTTTATACCTTCCTTCATCTCTGCCCATCGCCGTTTAGACAGAAGCAAATTCCGTACTGTTGGTGGTATCATCTCAGAGGTTAGAAATTCAACCTGGGGACCTGCAGGGGATTTATAGTTTAAATAAGTGGGATTGTTATACTGCGCTAGAAAAGGGGCGTTTTTGTGTGGTGTGCATCCAAGACTTGTTCACTACTGTGCTCATGACTACTGGGATCTAGTTCTTAGCAGTATAAACTGTTCCTTTTACTTGTTCCTATATTTTGCTCTGATTCCTGTCCTTCTCTGTCTATTTATTGCTTCTAAATTTGTTGTGGTTAGACAACCTGGATTATCAAATTTAAAACTATATCCAGGTTCAGGGCAAGTAGGGTGTGAGTTGCTGGCCTGGAATGGGGATGAAGCTGGGGTTGGGTGCTTGTCAGTGTTGGGGGAGAACAGATGCTCCTACGGCTGTAGGTGGTGACCACCCAAGTAGCTCACAGGTTTTGGTAATTGCGGTTGTGGGCCAAGTTTTCTTCCATGGAGCTAGTGGTGAGCTAAATGAACTCAGTACCTTTTGGGGCAATTGAGAGGATTAAATTGAAAGAAGGATCTTTTGGCATANACTGTTCCCATCCCCCCAATTCCCCAATAAAAAAAAAATCTAAAAAAAAAAAGAAAGAATGCACCAACACTAATGTTCTCCCATTTAAGGGCATGTTTGTAGGTACAGCTCCAGCAAGGCCGCGTCCCCATCTGGTCCCTGAAGCATTGTTTGCCCTCAGCTCTCCAGTATTCCAGAAAGCAGTCCCCTCAGTAATATTAAAATGTATGTACTGGTTCCTTCCAGGAAGGCAGACTGTTTTCTGATTACATTATTATAGAATCTCTTTAACTGTTCAGGTTATGTTTAATCTGTGTCAACAGAAGGAAGATTTCCAGGTGGAAAATGTGATAATCTACCACCTTAGCACCTGGTTTAGGGTTTCCCTCTCCTGTGAAGTGCCTCAGTGGCCATGGGACCACTGTGGTTTCTTATTTGCTGTCACTTCCATCCGCACACATGCTGCCTTCTCCGGGTCTATACAAACGTCACACAACCCCTTTCTTTATCGTTCATGTATTTTTGGCTTCCCTGATTTTTTTTCCTTTTTTGTTCAGTTTTTATTTCCATATGTGCTCATGCTGTTATGACAGTGATAGGTATAGTTTCTCCCACCTGACTGTTGAGCATCTCTCAACTAGCAGAACCAGCACTGTTTACAAAGAGAACATATAACCTAGCATCTGTTTTACAGATTTTTGCCTTAATTGTTCTGCTTTAAAAACAACTCCCTTTTTTTGTTTGTTTGTTTTTTGGGTTTTTTTTGGTTTGAGAAAGGAAGGATAGAAACAGGTACTCTCGGTGATGAGAACTGTTTGTGTTTAACAAATCTTTTCTGGAGAACAGCCACTTTAACTTCAACTTCTGTTCTTTTCCCCCTCAAACATTTAGTAACATTTCCATGAGTCTGAGTATACTGTTTCTTTGTGCAGAACACTAGATCACAGGGCTAAGAAATGTGTGTGCCAGAGTAAAGTAGAATTCTCCTAAAATCTACAGTTCCACCTGTCAGATGCTGTTCTATTAAAGTTTATTAAATTATGCAGAAATTTTAGGTACCATGGAACAAGTACCTCAGAGTGACTAGGGTGTGTATTAGGATGAAATGTGACACTTATTAGCAGTTATAGCATTATTGTCTTTGGTTTAAATCTCTTATGGGTACAGCTGCTCAACAAGATATATTTTTCAAAATACATTTCAAGAAATGCATTTTTCTATCTGTCAGTTTTACTCATTCAACAAAGAACTCTTCATCTAAGTTGCCAAGTATTTCCCATTGGTGCTGATGCGACAATCTCTCTCTACTCAAGGATTAAAGGCTGTGAAAAACACAACCATCTTGGCATTAGAGTCAGGGTAGCTTTACTTGGAGATACTGCTTTCCTTCTTGTAGGAAACAGCTTATTCACAGCACAATCTCTGTAAGTGTTCTGTTTAGCATGTCACAGCACAATAGGGTTTTAGAAAGACCTTGTGTTACAGATGTCCCTCTTTGAAGTACAACCTGGTAAATAGTATATTACCACCATTTTCATTTATAAATACACTTGTTGAAAATTTAGCTATCAGCACCTGGAATTGTCTTTCATCTGCTTAGGTGTTGGAGAGAAGTTTTCAACTTGGGAACCAACCAAACGTGAGCTTGAGCTGCTGAAACACAACCCAAAAAGGCGAAAGATCACCTCTAACTGCACCATAGGTAGGTGGGTGACAGTGCTCGCAGTGGTGGTCTGTTTTCATTCCTAGTTAGGTTTATTCCTCTTAAAATTAGTAGATGTCAAACTGGGTTTCCTGACATAGTACTCTAAGCCTCTGAATAACTCATTCATCTATTTGCTTAGCAGCCACTTCTTGAGCCCCTGGTTCTCTGTGGGGACCTGCAATAGGCTTGGGGTGCAGTGATGGGTGGAAGTAGTCCCTGTCCCGTAGAGTCCACTGGTGTAAAAAGGCTCAAGTTTATTTTCACCAGGTTGAGACTGCGTACAGCAATCTTCAGGGAGCAAAATACATGTGTGAGCCTGTTCTGTGGGTTTCCCAAGACTTGAAGGAAGACATTTTTAAAACTTTTGTTTAAAGCTATTTTTGTTTGTTGTTAGAGAGGCTCCATTTTGACCTGTCCAGTTGATAATTTTATCAAAACTTGCAATGGCTCAGGTGGGGGACCAGGGGAGGGGTGGTGGTGAGAACATTCCTCAGTGTAGTTTATATAAAAGTTGCATAAAAATCAGGACAGTATTATATTTCTTCTTGCTCTTTTCTTCTTGAATGAATGAATAAAAGAAAGTGGACACATAAATGTAGAGGAACCAATGTGATTCTGTTGCGGTTCAGTGGTACCTCTAGGTCAGTGCCACGTCACCCCACTCTCTTCTCTGCCTCCTTCCCAGGTCTGCGAGGGCTCATCAACCTTGGGAACACGTGCTTCATGAACTGCATCGTCCAGGCCCTCACCCACACACCGCTCCTGCGGGACTTCTTCCTGTCTGATAGGCACAGGTGTGAAATGCAGAGCCCCAGCTCCTGTCTGGTCTGTGAGATGTCATCCCTCTTTCAGGAGGTGAGCACTGTTTACTTTTGCAGTGGAACATTTCTGTAACTATGTTTCTCCCCCTTTTTAAGTAAAATAAAATAAGGTTGACTACAGCATAATAAAGGAGGGCAAATTTCTAAAACCTTACATAGTGAGTAAATATATGCTGTGTGCATTTATTATGGAAGACACACATTTTTTCCAAAAAGAACTGTTAGAAGACTACTGGCCTTGTTTTTCGAGGCACGCAGCTGACTTAGAGGGTGAGAAAGAGAGTGGCATAGCTGGTGGATAGTGTTTGTGAATCCTGTGGGGTTCGCCCTTTCCTGTTGTTTGCCGTCTGCACTCACTAGGTGTGTTAATGTGCACGTGCCACTTCCCTGTTTGTTCTCAAGGAGAGTGGATCTTCTTTTCTGTTGGTGGACCTTCCTGAGTGATTCACACGTCTGCTTTTGTGACCCTCTGTCCCGAGCATCAAATTCTGCTCCCCTGGTTGGGTTGTGTCTGTCCTGTCATGACCATCCTAACCAACACTGACAGCATGACACAGCTCAGACGTCCTTGGGCTGGACTCGCTGCACTCAGCTTGGTGACCTCAGAAAAGCCTTTTAGAGCTGAAACAGCTCAGCCATCCCGAGCACAAAACGGGGCTGCTACCTGCCCCGTAGGTTGCTGAGAGGTCCTGGGCATACTTGAGGTGTCCAGCACAGGGGCCCCCGCAGACTTGGCCTGGTCTGTTCCGTCAATAACCTCTGATGGCAATCCAGCCATGCCCGCTCGCCCACACATTGTGCACTGGCTGCTTTTGCACTGCCTGGAGGAGGTGAGGCCTGGTTGAGCTACTGTGACAGAGACCACCTGGCCTGCAAAGCCGGAATCATCGACTACCTTACCCTTATCAGAAAAAATTGGCCTACATCTGGTCTAGCCTGATCCCTTTTCTTCATCCCCAGCAGGCCAGTAACTATCAGGGTCACAGCAGTGAGCAAACCTAATAAAATCGTTGGGCCCAAAGAAAGGCAGGTGCAGCTGCAAAACTAATGGGTAGGTGTGTCACTTCTACACATGGATTTCGGCCTTTTTTACTGGGCACTATTGGGTGATAAATTAATATAGGTTTGGGTTTATTACAGTATAATTTACAAAGAGCGGACTTCACCTTTTAGTGTATAGATCTATTTCTCTTGACAGATGCATGTCATAATTCATCATCTAGGACTATCGTAGAAAACTAGATGGTGGGAACGGGGAAGACAATACGCAAACTCAGAAAGCCCAGTGAGTCCAACTTCTACGTGTGTCTTTGTGTTCAGCATGTGGCATTTAGTCCTGACAAGCGATTTTGTTTGCCTTCTCTCTGAGTAGTTTTACTCTGGGCACCGGTCTCCCCACATCCCGTACAAGTTGCTGCACCTGGTGTGGACTCACGCCCGGCACCTGGCAGGCTACGAGCAGCAGGATGCCCACGAGTTCCTCATTGCAGCCCTGGACGTCCTGCACCGGCACTGTAAAGGTGCGTGCCTGCACCCTCAGAGCGCATGCGTGGGGGTGGGAGGGCAGTGTGTGCACGCCTGACAACGATACCAGGTCTGTGTTATAATCGTAGGTTTTCTCCAGTAAGATAAACACTATAATTATCTCAGATTTTTCATGGTTTGTTTTACGAGGGGGGAAATAGTTTCCAGTGTTGTCCTCTGACCTTTCCGGGAGTGGAGCAGGGTAGCAGTTTGTCTTGTACAGCCTGTAACAGTGAACAGTGAGCTCTCTGTCCTTGATGGGCCTTTGCCTTGAGTCCTCTACTGCTGGCTTCTCCTTGGCCTGATGTGTGAGGGCCTCACCTGCAGCTCCTCTGGGTTGACACGGCTGTGTCAGGCCAAAAGCTTCTGAATGTGCTTGAAACTCAGCCCAACGATCAAAACTATCGCCTTCCCCTGGGGAGTCTCCAAAAGGCCATCATTACTCTAGAGCAGCCAGAGACTAGGAACACAGAGCTGAGCCTGCACACTGGCCAGTACTTTCGCGGCCCTGAGGCAGGTTCATTTTTCAACCAAGGGCCTTTTCTTTTTGTCTCTTTCAGGAACCCCCTGGAGCTTGACTCCTCCCATAACAGGCTTCTCAGAATGTGTGGGTTTAGATGGTATATGGGAGGGGCAGCGGGCAGCAGCTCCTAGGGCTCAAAGGCAGATGAGGACTGAGTAAGGGGCACAGTGGTCCCCTCCCCTGCCCTTCCCTGTGTGGGGCTCACAGTTTGAAGGCCCTGTGCTGACCTATAACTGACAATAGGCATCAACTGAGGGATGAGTGTGGTTCAGAATCACCTGGACGACTCCTTAAAGCACACAGTCGGCCCTTCTGTTTGGTGGGCCTGAAGTGAGCTCAGGAGTTGTTGTTCCTAGGTGACACTGCTGGTTCAGAAGCGTACTCTCAAGTGTAAGTGAAGTATGTTCAGGTCACAAGTTACCTGGTTACCTGTGGCCTCTAGGCTGGTACGGCTAGTTACAGGTGATATCCTACTGGCCGCTTTCCCCTTCCATTGAGGTCCTTCAAGAACAAAGTCCTGTTTCTCCAGGTCACTTTGTTGAACCGCCTTCATGCTGCTGCCTTTAAGTCTCTCGGGTCATTGGGCTGGCTGCTCTCACAAATGCCCTGTGGAATCTGAGATGACAGCTCAGAGACAAGCCAAACTTGAAATAAGACAGCTTGTTCTGATCAATTGTCATGGCTGTGGGTTCCAGATTTTTTTGTATCTAAATTTTTCTCTTATGAAAACATACACACGATCCTTTTAATGCTTGCCCTAGGAATCAAATCAGAGTTGCTTAACAGCTTAGGTAAGGTTTAGTTTCCTAGTATAAAGCATAACATACTAGTATAAAGCATAATATACAAACAAAAAAGAGCCATGTGAAAGATTAAGTTGTTACTCCAGGCACTTGAAAATAATTAAGAGACCTCTGTTTGAAAGTGCATTGCTGTTAAAATGTTCATATGACAGGAAAAATGAAGAAACCGTTGTATCTATTCTCTAATTCCTTTTGAAGTGTCTGGGGAGAAATGTAAGGCTCTTCTTAGAAACACAGTCGTCAGAATTTTTCTGAATCCTGAATTCCTCAGGGTCGCTAGTTCACAGCATGTGGGGGAGGCCACTTAGCAGGCCCCCTGTGCACGTGCCTACGTGTTGTTTTTGTATGTAGACAATACCAGATACCTTCAGGTATCTTTTGGCCTGTTTTTCTTGGTGCCTTCCTGTATGTATTTTCCCGTACCCTAACATTTTTGCCCCATAAATGAATTTGAGATCTTTCTGGGTGGCATTTTCTCCCTAATCTCTCCAGGCAACTACTATCAGAAGGCTGTGGCCACCCTTTATTCCTGTGTAATATTTAACTTTTTTGATACATAATTCATATACAGATGGACACACACACTCTTATTTCCATGTCTAGTTGAATGACAGTTTTATAGAATGTATATAGGATATATATGAATATTATATTTCACCATATAAGTTTTATATTCATATATCTACACACAAATTACATACACAGTTGACCCTTGAACAACGTAGAGGCACAGTCAAAATTCTGGGTATAATTAAAGTTAGCCCTCCATATACTCGGGTCCAACCATCAGTTGACCCTTGAACAATGTACGTTTGAACTGTGAGGTCAATTGAAAAACATCTGCATGTAAGTGGTCCTGCACAGTTCAAACCTACATTGTTCAAGGGTCAACTGTAAACAAGACTTGTATTGAACTAGGGAGGATGGGAATTGTACTTACCTAGATACAACTGACTGGAAAACAGTGGTTCCTGAAGCCCCAGAATGTGGGAACTGATGAGAAAAACAGACAAGCGGGAGTCCTGCAGGGACACTCTCTGAAGTAAGGACACATGTAGTCCAGGGAGTGCGAGTAGAGACTTCCCTGGGAGTATTCAACCCACAGTACGTGGTGTGATCAAACAATACGGTGAATGTTTACATTAAAAAAGTGTATTACATTACAGTAAAAGGCAAATTGCCGTTAACTACCCCCCCACACACCCCTGCTTTGAACACTTATCCCATCGTTCTTGCCACTTTCTGAAGCAGTTCTGGAAGTCCTCTTTCGTGAATGTCTTTAGTTGTGCTGTCATGGCTGCCTCAATGTCCTGAATCATTTTGACTTTGGGAAAGAACCAGAAGTTGCACGGTGCCAGATCCACTGAATAAGGTGGATGAGGACACACCATAGTGCTTTTATTGGACAGAAATGGCTGCACCAGAAGCTGTGTGTGACATGGAGCGTTGTCATGGCGGAGGATGATTTACTGCACACTTTAAAACACACCTTTTCTCAACCGTATCTCACACCCGACTGATTGCACTGAACAAGTTGAAGCTTGTTTTGAACACTGTTACTGAGGGTTCGACATGCTGCTTCCATATTGAAGAGCCTTTCCATTGGATGGCACTCGGCACCAGCATTCACTGCATTTTGTGATCACAGTGGAAAGGCTCCGTGTCACACATGGCTTCTGGTACGGTAACTTCTGTCAAAAACATTACGGTGTGTCCTCATCCACCTTATTCACCCGATCTGGCACCATGCGACTACTGGCTCTTCCCCAAAGTCAAAATGAACAAGAAAGGTAAATGTTGTGAATCGATTCATGATATCGAGGCAGCCAAGACAAAGCAACTAAAGACACTCACAAAAGAGGATTTCCAGAACTACTTCAGAAAGTGGCAAGAACGATGGGATCAGTGTGTTCGAAGCAAGGGGGAGTGGTTTTTTTTTAAAGATTTTATTGGGGGACTGGGGGAGTGTAACAGCATTGGTGAATTGGGGAAGGGGAACAGACAAGTTGCTGTCCTTTTGTTCTTCAGTCTAGTTGTGGAGGACGTCACTTCACTGGCCCATGTTGGTATTATCATTGCACTCTTCCCGAGTGAGGCAGATCGGTTTCTGGCCACTGGATGGCGGCTCTTGGCAGCTCACGCTGGCTGCCGGCCATTCACGGTAGCTCATGGCAACCCACTGCAGCAGGGGCTGCAACCTACGCCATTGCTGGCAACTCATGGCAGCCCAGCTCCAGGTTGAGCTGTTGTTCACCATCTTAGCTGTAGAGGGCGCAGCGTCACTGGCCCTCAGGCGGGATCTGAACCGGGGCGCTGCTGCTCAGAGCTGGTGTCCCAAGCCAACTCCTAACCAATGCGCCACTCGGCCGGCCCGCGAGGGGGAATATATTGAGGGGGATTGATGGCAGTGTGTGTTTCACTGTAATAAATTTTCTTTTAAAATTCACCGTATTATTTGATCACACCTCGTAGGTTGGGCCACCTCACTAGAAAAGTCTTTTCAGTGATTCTGGAAATGCAAAAGGAATCAGTACCTTTTCCCATTTACTGGGCATTTGATACATTCTGGTGCCAACATAGAAGCTAAGGATATCTTCTTAGGGAGTGGAGAAGAAGAAAAGAGAAAATAAAACAAACTGGCTGGGTCGTTCTCACTTTCCCTGCCAGGTGTGTTGTTTGAATGATAAGTGTCTTCATAGGCCCTTGTGAGAGTGTCGACACCTCAGCTTCCATGATGCTTCTGTGGGTGAATGGCTCACCCCTTGGGTCTGTGGCTCTTGGAAACTTGCTGACTTTAGGGGGTGGGGGGTGGGTACAGATGGGAATCACAGCTCCAGTCTCCCCAGGTGATGATAATGGGAAGAAGGCCAACAACCCCAACCACTGCAACTGCATCATAGACCAGATCTTCACAGGCGGGCTGCAGTCGGACGTCACCTGCCAGGTCTGCCAGTAAGTGGGGGCTTCCGGCGGGACACCAAGTGTTCTGGAATGCCAGTGCTTTCTGGGTCACGCCAGCCAGACCATAATGAGGGAGCCCAGGTTCTGTCAGAGAGAAGACTGCCCTGGGTGCGGCCTACTATCAGCATGGCACAGTTTCAACCTGCAGACTGCTGTGTTCTGAGAAGTTTTTAAAATGTGTAGACGCTGGGAACATGATGTAGTCACGCTTTCTTCGTGATGTGTCAGTAGAGCGAGTCTCACAGTGGAGCATCTGCAGCACAGCCCGATGGGAAGCAGTTCTGTTTAAACGGCTGGTGGCGAGTATTGGGATAAAATAGCTCCAATAGGAAAGATGCAAGAAAAAGAAAAAGTTCACCCTGATATGAAGGTCATCAGGGCAGTGTCCCCACTGGGGGTGCAAGGCTTCATGTTGAGGCCGTCTGTCACTGCCCACATCCAGCAGTGAGTGCCTTAAGCTCCCTGCCACATGTTTGCTTTCCTGAGGGCCCCTGCCACCAGGAGCTAAACAAAGAGCCCCCGTCACGGACTGGGTCTCATATGGCAGATACTCAACAGACATGCTCCAAAGTGTGTCAGTTTTTAATTATTTCACAGATTCCTTTCCATTTTCTTCAAAGTAGTGTCCCTGAATTCTTCACAGGTTTGTGTTCTGTGCTCAGAGCCCAAAGCTTTCATTTCCAGTGGGAGAGTACATTGGTGTTAAGGTTAGAAGAACCCTTTCATTCACCTTCAGTGTACTCCCATGGTGTTTATTTCACTTCAACTTTTTTTAAAACCCTAGTCATCCACTAAAATTTCAGAACCTATAATGGATTACCAGATTTTATAGGATAAATCAGATATTGGAAAAGAGTCAGTTTGCCTGTGTCATAGTGCAGTTTTCTGTTAAGTAGCACATATCATCACGGGCCATCACTCTAAGCAGTTTAGACCACGGCTTTAAAATAGCTGCCTCATTGGCCCTGGACTGCTGGACTCCCTCAGCAGGTGATTTCTTGGGTATACATTCTATGGAAATTTCTGTAGTAAATGTCTCAGTCTGGGAGTTTCGTGTTTGTATATTTTAGAATAAATCTCCCAGACAAAATTGGCTTCATTAGATAGAGCTGCTGTTCAGTTCGGGATCTGGGCCCTGTCAGTGCATGCTTAGTGTGTGGCACATGCTTGGAGGTCTGAGTTATTACCCAGGTTCAGCAGTTCCCAGATGCTGCTGAGGTAAATCCATTGAAAAAAGTCCCGAAGTGATTGCACTGATCTTCCGGGCTTGTAAACCATTGCTTTAGGAGCAGCCTTTGCCTGAAGTGGTTTACACGCCGTCAGTCCCTAGAGCCTTGAGAGCCCAGGATGTGTTGGGTGTGAGCATACCTTTTTCTGACCTGGGATGTCATTTGGATAAAAGGGCAGAGCTGTGAAAGAAGGTTGAGATACACTCATGAGGTGGTACCTCAGAAGCTGTGTGTGGTTGTCAGTTCTGTTTCTGTCTTCTTTTGCTTCTAGTGGAGTCTCGACCACAATAGACCCATTCTGGGACATCAGTTTGGATCTGCCTGGCTCTTCCACCCCGTTCTGGCCCCTGAGCCCTGGGAGTGAGGGCAGCGTGGTGAACGGGGAAAGCCACATATCAGGAACCACTACGCTTACGGACTGCTTGAGAAGGTGAGAAACCTGCTAGCACTTCTGTAGAAAAGTAAAGGTTTTTCCTTGCAGGCAGTGGTCTCTCCTTGCCTTAGTCTGTTCAGAGTAGTGATTGATCAGAGTAAAGGCCTAATAAATTCAGGACCACCCAGGTTCCCAGTAGTATTTTCTTTTACAAGTCTAGTGGAGAACATGAGAAATGATATGACAACCTACACATAGCTACAGTTGGTGCCCCGTGGCTCATACTGATTTGTCACATTTTTGCAAGGCGACTGGCTATTCTGTCCACCTAGCTTTGCGCTGTAGGATGTCTGTATCACAGCTACTATTCTACCCCACCCCCCATGTAAATTAACAGCAAAAGTGAAAGTTACCTCACCTTGTGTGGCTAATAACCTATGCCAGAGATGGCACTAAAAGAGCTGGCCCGTCCCACTGCAGGTGATTAAAAACATATCTGTGATGTCCTGGGTGCCTTTAAACTCCTGTGTACATCCAGGCATTTACTACATCATCGATTTAGACAAGTGATAAGGTTTAGGATGTAGTTGCTATAAAGTGTATTTACATAGCTGATACGTACAATTGTGGTGAGGCCAGAAACCCTTCTAAACTTAATTTTAGTTGAGTGTAGTGTTTTACAACCTTTATTTTCTTTTGCTCGCATTAGTTCAAGGCCACTGCAGACAACTCCCTGGTTGGCGGAAGCACTCCACATGGAGACGGATATGCTTCTTGATTTTTGCCTTGCTGCATAGTCAGCAGGCCCAGAAGTGCATGTTTAAAGTTTTAAAATGCATTTACTTTGTTATACTGATAGATCCAGTTGTAAATGAGGTATCAGATTTGTAATTTGGAAGACAAGCATATAAATAATCAAAACCAAAAGAAAATTTTTTCAAGAGAGTATTTACAACAAAATTAAATTTCGTGGTAAATTTTAATAAAATTGTGCCCACAAAGCAGGTAACGAGGGACACTGTAAACTGCTTGGGAAGCTGTCTTAGTTAGGGCCGAAGTGGCTGAGACACGGTGGGGTCCGTTGGTGTCCAGTTTTTATCATCAGGGTCCCTTTCAAGTTACATTGAGGGTAGATCCCAGAGCTGGTGGAGGAAACTTAAGGCACATGTGATGTGTAGCTATAGACCCTCCGGGTGTTCGGGTGTCTCAGTGAGGGTGAGAACTGCAGTGGTAGTGGGCACTGTCACTGTCCACAGCTCCTGCATGGATGCTCACCTGTGCTCCTTGGACCCTTTGTGGAGGAGACAGACTTCGTGGAACCGTGAACGCTGCCCTAGTAACAGGGCAGAGCTCCGCGAAGCCTGTTGCCTCCCTGGGGTTTCCGTGGCCCCACCTTGTTGTATGGGCCCCATGGTGTGCCCTTTGATCTTTGTTGCCTCATTGCTATTTCAGTTCATTTACGTTTGTATGTTGTATTTTCTCAATCGGGAATGAAATACAACGCGCTCAGAGGAGGAGACTGCCTCAGACTATTTCTGTCCTCAGGGCACTAACGTGCTGTTGGGCATCTGCCTTGACCCTGTCAGAATTCATGCAAGGTTGTAAATGGCAGACACTGACTGGTGAGCTTAGACAGGCAAGGAAGTCGGGTAGCTCACAGAATCCATGGGAAGGCTAAGAGAACCCGGCAGTGAGTAGGCGGTAACCGTGGGAGGACCAAGAACCAGCAACACACGTCCCACCGCTGCCTGGCTGCCCCAGTGCAGTCAGAGTGCTGCTCCTGCAAAAACAGGTCTCCCCACATCTGCTTCTTGAGAGTACTTCCAGATACAAAGTCCCTGTGAGGAGCATGCAGCTGGCTAAGCCTGGGTCAGTGCCTTCATAGCTGGGGGGGTAGGGGGTGCGCAGAGCAAATGCTGGCTTTTGTGGTTGCCTTCCATGATAAAAGGTGGGCCCTGCCCCTGCTGGGGTTGGAAACACCCCACATGGGGGAAGGGAGGCGTGGGTGGATACCTGAAAAGGTATGTGAATTGGGCTCCATTTTCCTCCCCTAATTTCTGTATTTATAACTGAATTTGAAGTCAAATTCTCTTCATGTCTGATGTTGTGGGGCTTGTTCAGCATGTTTTTTTGGGGTCTGAAGCAGCTTTTGTGGTAGGAAGTTAGCATAGTTTGAGATGACAGTGATTTGGGGGCAAGTATACTTCAGCTTGTGGTCACTGAACATGGAAAGAAAAATGACATTATTAGGAACTTCTGGAAGAGTAAACAGAAAACATCCAAAGATGACTTGACTGCTGAGCATTTTGCACTGCATTGGTGTCAAGTTTTGAAAATGTATATATATCATCATGAGTAGTGGTGTGTTTATTGACCAATTGCCAAATCGATAATAGTTAATAATGGAAATATAATTGGCTAAAGCATGTGAATCACAATTCGAGGGTAATTAAAGTATTTACAGCCCCAGATTGCACTTTAGGAAGCTTGAACCTGTCTGAAAGGAGTTCCTGAAGCAGATCTCGAGGCTGTGTCACCTGTTCACTGTGGAGGAAGGCACTTGGGGCTCCTTGAAGGAAGTGTTCCTTTTCACTTGAAAGTTTGTTGCCTCGGGCACCTGCTTTCTACCATCTGTGCCTTGCTTAGCACTTGGAATGCTTGAGGGGCGGCAGAGTCCTCCACCCAGTTTTAGCTGCGCTTGGCATTGGACTTCAGTTCTAAAATGAAATGTTTTTCTCTGTGCACAGTCCTCTGCTGAATGGTGACACAGATCTGAGTACTGGTTCCTGCTGTTGCAAGCTTGCTGAGATGTTAGGGAAGCGGTCGCTGCCGCTGGTCCCTGAGTAGTATGCTTGGAGTGGGACAGAACCGTGTTTTGAGTTGGAAAGTGGATAACGGAGTAATGTTGTGGCAGCGCTAGCTAATGTGTAACCCAAAGTCCTCACTGTTAACTTGGGTACGCTCTTCCCACCTGCTGTTGATTTTGAGCAGCCAGTCCATGCCCAAACTGCCCTGATTGTTTTTTCTTTTAGTGTTTTTTACAGTTTGTTCAAATCAGGAGTCAGACTAGGTGTACACATGACATTTGGTTGATTGGTCACCTGAATCTCTTTAAATACAGGCATCAACTTCCTCCCCTTTCTTTCCTTGGTCATTTGTCCACAGAATTTCCCACACTCCGGACCTTGTCGATGGCGTGTGGGCTGATTCTCGCAGGTTGCAGTGAACGTGCTAGGTTGCCTTGTTAATCCTCCCTCTTTCATGAGATGTAACTGTTCTCCTCACAGGTCCATTCCTGGACGCCTTACGAGCAGGCAGGGGGTCAGCTCTGCACAGGGGGGCCTCGGGCTGCCTGAGGTGAGATGGCAGAATTTCCAAAGGAAAATAAACAGGGATTTCCAGACCTGGTTGAGAAAATATCGAATTTTCTGTTTCTCCGCTTTAAACTTTAAAAGTTTGGCGTAAACTGTATTGAAACGTGTTTCATGGGTTTTTATCTTTGGTAGATACCACCTGTGCCAGAAATGCTTGTCGATCTCTCTGGTGCAGCCTTTCTATCTCATGATCTATCTTCATTGTTACAAAGTTACCATTTTGCCAAATGTCTCATTTTTTAAATTAAACTTTTAAATTTTGAGATAATTGTAGCTTCCCATGCAGTAAGAAGTAATCCATGGAGAACCTGTGTATCCTTCACCCAGTTTCCCTCAGTGGTAACTTGTAAAATGACAGTCCCGTGTCACAGCCAGGACACTGCCATCGATGCAGACAAGATGTGGGCACTTCCCTCCTGGCAGGAGCCCTCACAGCCACACCTCCTGCCTCCTTCACCCCCGGCAGCCACAGATCTGGTCTCCATGTCTATGAATTCCACCTTTCAGGAATGTTACTTTGATGGAATCATACAACATGGAACCTGGTGTGTCAATAGTCTATTCCTTTTTATTGCTGACTAGTATTCCGTGGTGTCACGTACCAGTTTGTTTAACCACTCGCCCGTTGAAGGACATCTGCGTCGCTCCCAGTTTTTTGGGGGTTTTTTGTTTGTTTGCTATTACAAATAAAGCTGCTAAAAACATTTGTGTACAGTTTTTGTGTGAACGCAAGTTTTCATTTTTCTGGGACAAATTTGATTGCTGGGTATTAATAGTAGTTAGAAAATTAATAGTATTTCACCAGACTTTTCATTTAAAAAATGTAAGGTAAGTATTTTTTAAAGTGATAAGGAGAGAAGGTGAAGAAGGTAGTTTCAGTTTTTTCTTTGTGAAATTATAAATACCCCTAACTGTATGTATATTTTCTTTTTTAAAGATTTGTTATTGAGGAATTACGGGGATGGGAACAGTGCTGGGGAATTGGGGGAAGGGGAACAGACAAGTTGTTTTCGTTTTGTTCTTCAGTCTAGTTGTGGAGGACGTTGCTTCACTGGCCCAAGTTGGCACCTTCATTGCGCTCTTCCCGGGCGAGGCAGATCAGTCTCCGGCTTCTGGACCGGCCGCTCAAGGCGGCTGCTGGCCACTCACGCTGGCTGCTGGCTACACACGGTAGCCCATGGCAACCCACTGCCACAGGGGCTGCAGCCTACGCTGTCGCCAGCGACTCACGGCAGCCCAGCTCCAGGTTGAGCTGTTGTTCAGCATCTTAGCTGCGGAGGGCAGTGTCACTGGCCCTCATATGTGGGATCCAAACCGGGGCCCTCTGGCGTCACAAGCCAGTTCTTAACCATCGTGCCACTCGGCCGGCCCCTGTATGTATATTTTCAGTAAGGAAATTAATCTACTGACAGTGATAGAATAACTCTTTTCCCTCTCTTACCTCTTACATCCTTTTCTCTTAAAAATGTATTTTTTAAATGCCTTGTAGATTTACTAGACCAGAGCACTTGGGAAGCAGTGCCAAGATCAAATGCAGTGGCTGCCATAGCTACCAGGAGTCTACTAAACAGCTCACCATGAAGAAACTGCCAATTGTAGCCTGTTTTCATCTCAAAGTAAGTTTCCCAGAAAAAAATTTGGTGGCAGACTCAATTTTTAGTCCCCAGTACAACTTACAGCCTGTGGGTTTGACATAAAGAGTACATTTTATAATGGCAGTGACTGTAAGGAACGCTAAAGAAACAAGGGGGAAATAAGTGGTAACTCCCTGTCTTCTGTTGCCGAGAGAGGTCTGTTGTGAACAAAAAGTGATGACTGTGTCATGAAAATAGGATGGGAGTTGCTCTTCTGGAGGTGGGGATTATTAAGGTTTTACTACTTCTACCTAAATTCTTCCATTCTCCCCCCAAATGTTCTGTTTTTCTTTTACTTAAAAGCAAACAGAGATGCTTAGCATAATGATTTAGTCCAGGGGTCGGCAAATGACGGCTCACAAGCCACATGCGGCGCTTTGGGTACGTTCCATCTCAAAAGTTTGCCAACCCCTGGAAGAGCCAATCCTGTCCCTCACAACAATTTAAAAAATTTGAGAGCCATAATATATTTTTACATAATCATCATTATGTGAATAATAAACTGTAAAAATTTTATAAATGGAACTATGATAGTTTTATTTTCATTTTCAATTTTACTTTAGAGCCACAGCTTATGAGCCACAGTTTGCTGACCCCTGGGTGGCTCTTCTGTCTCAAAAGTTTGCTGACCCCTGTCCAGGGGTCAGCAAGCTCTTGTAAAAGGGCCAGGTAGTAAGTATTTTAGGGTTTGTAGCCATATGATCTGTTTCATATTTTTCTTTGTTTTATTTTATGACCCTTTAAAAATGTTAAAAGAAAAAAAAAAACATTCCTAGCTTGCTTTCTGGCATTGGTGGCCCCTGATCTAGTCAAAGGAATGTCTTGTATCTAGTGAAAGAGGCAGTGTGTTTGTTTTTTCTTCCAGAGGTTACCAGTACTTGTTCTCTACTATCTTGCACTTTGCTAGGCTTGTTATATTTTTTGTACTTTATCACTCTGAACAATCACATCATTTCAAGACTTGAACCCCATAAATTAGATTTCTAGGGATTGCTATTGTGTTATTGAATCTGTAAGCTCCAGACATGGCCAGGAGGTGATCAGAAAGTGAATGAAAAGCCTACTTTGGGGTGTGCACAGAGAAGCCCGTTACAGTCTCATCCCTCTTCCCTGTCTCCCCCATTTTTGCAGCGATTTGAACACTCAGCCAAACTTAGGCGGAAGATTACCACATACGTGTCCTTCCCCCTGGAACTGGACATGACCCCCTTCATGGCGTCCAGGTATGGAAGGGTTTGTCCAGCTGTGTCCAGTGTCAGGAGGGGTCAGTGATTGGCACCGACTCCCTGATGAGGCAGTTGGTAGAACATTGATATAACCGTACCTGCAAAAACCAAATTATTACCTGATCTTAACCCAAGACACATTTTAGTTTAATGGGTTGTTTTTCCTCAGATGTCCTGTTTTAGCTTTGGGTTTTCCCAAGCAATCCTTTATCACCTTTCAGACCCCAATAGTCATCAAGGTAGTGTCACAATAAGAAGGCCTCATTTTAGCTGATGGAATTGATTTTGGGATACAGATAAAAGTAGTTGATTTTGCAGGAGTACATTCCATTTCTCTTGTCTTCAAATCTTTATGTCATAGACCACATGAAATTTACCCTCCTTCCCAAAACTCAACACTTACTAATATATTGGACACATGTTAGTTTCCGGGGGGGCACTGTAACAAATTACCACAGACTTGGTGGCTTCAGGCAGAAAGGTGTTGGCAGGCCTGTCTCCTTGGAAGGACTCAGAGTGGATTCCGTTCTCTACCAGGAGGTGTGCTACATAGGTCTGGGCAGGCTCCACACCGTGCGGTACGTGTGCTCTCAGCAGTGCACTCCCCAGCCTGTGCCTCGATTTCCTCACCGTAACGTGGAGATGGATAGTATCTGCCTAAAAAGAATTGTTGAAGAACTAGAAAGTGTACATAAAATGGATCCAGCACAATGTCTGGAATAGTAGGCCCCCAATAATATTACTGTTGTCATCTAACCATTAATTTTTGGTTAATTATTGTAAATGATGCTGAGTTTTGCTTTTGTATGTCACAGCAAAGAAAGCAGGATGAATGGGCAGTACCAACAGCCTGCGGATAGTCTTAATAATGATAACAAGTAAGTGGTGCCCTTTGGGGGTGTCCTGGGGCTCCTGGCAGGACTTGCAGGGATGCCCCAGCTGCATTCCTGAGGAGAAGGCTGCATATTCAAGTGGCAGTGGCAGAGCTCATTGCTTTGGCCACTGGCCTGCTTTCTGTCCACTAAGCTATGTTGAAAATACATAAGCCTTATATTAGGAAAGGACTTTTCACACCTTTATCATAAATACTGCCTCCTGTTATAGGAGACTCACCCCTGTCTCCTGGCCTCTGTGTGACTGAGGGTCAGGCAGCCCAGCATCTGCCTTCACTGGCATTGGTACGAGGCCTCTGCTCTTTTCTTTGCCATCCTTCTTACCGTTGATGTGGCAGAAAGAATGAAAGGAGAGAATGGTTACGGTATCTCCCAACACCACTTGCTCTCACCACTTCCACTAAATGTGGTTCCAGCGAAGAAACTTGAGAGCTGAGAGGGGCCACACAGGTGTGCTCTTACCCTGTGTGCACCAGCTTTGGTTCCTAGGGTACTAACTGTTTGGAATCAGTGCGCTACACCGCACTATGCAGGCTTCCAACTGCTTGGTGACAAAATTGAGTGACCTGCTCTGTCTCTCCCCACTCCTTTTCTCCCAAACCAGATACTCCTTGTTTGCAGTTGTTAACCACCAAGGGACCTTGGAGAGTGGCCACTATACCAGCTTCATCCGGCAGCACAAGGACCAGTGGTTCAAATGTGACGATGCCATCATCACCAAGGCCAGCATTGAAGACGTGCTAGACAGCGAAGGGTATGTCGGGGTGGCAGCTTGTTTCTCCAGTTCGATTACATGGAATCCAGAGCCACATCTGCTCTGGGTTCCATTCAAGGAGGTTTACTTTCAGTGGTGGGAGTGACGAGGCTTGTTCTGGACAGGATGCCAACCCCGAGACAGTGTACCTGGGCAGGACACTGATTAATGCCTTAACACAGGGAATGTGGTGGTGGTGGTCATTTATTTTAGTCATGGTGTGAGCTGACACATGGGTGCTTTGGTGGCTCCTCTTTATTTTTCCATTTTTTTTTCCTTCATGGCACATTATCATCCACCTTTAGCTCTGCCAAATCCTTAGTCTTCAGACAGTCAGCAGGATCTGGCCCCAGGGATGAGCTGCCATGTTTGTGAGGCACATGTGGATGGTGTATTCTGAGCTTTGGGGAAGCCCTCTTGGGAGAGAGTCTGTGTAAAGAGTTGTGTTGGAGAGGTCAGCCTTGTGGCTGAGGAGGCCAGAGCAGGGGGGTATTAGACGGAATCTGTTCCAGGAGTCTTACCCCAGATTGCCCGACACAGGCAGTGGCAGTCAGACAGAGGCCAGGTTCAGGAGCTGTGTGGGAGGTGGGACTGACGGGATTCATGCGTCCTGGTGGATGGGCTCAGGGGCTTGGGCATTCGGTGGGGACACTGCCGCTACCTCGCTAAGGACTCATGCAACCAAGAAGTCACATGGCTGGTGAGTGCCAAGGCCGTGGCGCCAGGGTCATTGGCTGGGGAGGGTTGGGTTTGCCTGACCTCTTGTGAGTTTAAACACAAACATGCGTCTGTCTTTGCTCCTCAGATACCTGCTGTTCTACCACAAACAGTTCTTGGAATATGAGTAGCCTTACCCTCAGCTGGTCAGAACAGGGAAGGCAGGAGGTGGCAAGCCCCACAGAGTGATCACTGACATCCTGATAACCACCACCTACACAGAAGTGCCCCGAGAGCAGCAGACTCCTCTGCAGCCTGGCCCAAAGGAAGGCAGCAGCCGTCGGTGCCCAGGATTGTGGGGTTCGAATGGACAAGTCCTGGGGTGGGAGGAGGCTCCAGGAGGAACTGCACAACCGAAAAAATGAAATGAGGGGTGTATTCTGCATGGGAAGGGGCAGAGTAGATGTGTCACTAGTGTATCTCCTTTGCTCCTCAAGCAAATGTGTGGGTGATTGGGATGGGGATACCCCCACAGCATGGAGCAGCCTTGCCCTGGTGCTTCAGTTCTGCTGCATGACAGTTAAAAGGCGCTAGCCCATGTTAAAATTATGGGTCCATTAAAGCAGTAGAGAAGACAAAGATACTGTGCAAGAATGGAGGACTTTGCAAGGATCTTTGTCTTCGTGAGAGTTAGTATTGAATATGTATAGTATGGAACTCGTAGCTTCTGTTTTGTCAGCAAATACCAAGAACCCCCATCCCCACCCCACCCCAGAGCTTATGGAACTGAAGACACTAACTGGGGTTTCCAAGCATGTCTGTTCTGCAGATAACGTAGCATCAAACTGCATGTGGAAATATCAGCCTGGGTGTTCTCCCTCGGTTTTCTAGAAATAGGCATTTTCTTATCCCCGTCCCTTTTCCTCTCTTTTTCCACAGTGGTAAATTTCATAAAAGTAATGATAGTAACGTGAATGAATTATTGAGTTTGTACTGAAATCTAGATAGTTTTTCCTTTATTCTTGAGAGTGACTCTTGCTTTTGGTGCTGTTTTGTTCCGCCCCCCCCCCCCCCCCCCCCCCCCAGCATCTGTGTCCTGGTCAAAGCTTGTGGATGCAGCAGAGGAGAATCAGGCTGCAGCTAATAACTGTCTCTATCTTGTTCATCTTTTGAGAAAATAAAGCATTTCTTGGTGGTTTCCTTGTTTCCCTTCCACATATTTTCTTCTTGGCCTCCTGTCCTACCTGCTGCCCCTGTCGCTGCTGCTGCTTGGTAGCTAGTATGTCGGATTGAAGCTGGAGTAGCTTCTAGTGGAGACTATGTTACATTGCTCAGTGCTCTGCTTTACATTCAGTGTAGTTTAAATTGTAGCAGGAAAAAGTGACTTTGATTGAACTTGTGGGAAGAGCTGATTGAGGAGCTGGAATGATACACATTGTTCTTTGTAAGATTTCTTGCATGCATCTAGCTATCCAAACCCAAACTTAGATTGTCCATTTCTGAGAAATTGCAACCCAGAAACATAGGGGAGAGAAAGTTGCTTTAATATAGTTTGTGAAACCAGCTGTGCTTGTCCCAGGAGCCCAGTCTGCATCTGAACGGGAATATTCATGCCTGGAGAAGAGGAGAATCATCTTTTTCAGGGTCAGCAAACTTTTTTCATGAAGAGCCACATGGTACATATATTAGGGCTTTGTGGGCCACGTGGTCTCTTGCCATAGATAATACTTAAACAAATGAGCCTAGCCGTGTTCCAATAAAACTTTATTTATGGACACTGAAATTTGAATTTCATATAATTTTCATGTCATGAAAAAAATTTTCTTTTCACTATTTAGAAATGTGTAAACCATTCCTAGCTGACAGGCAATACAAAAACAGGCAGTGGACCAGATCTGGCTCATTAGCTAGTGAAGTTAGGAAATGGGGTAGTCACAGCAGGAGTTGAGTAGTTACTACTCAGTATAGATAATGCTAGAATATGCAAAGAGACATTCATACTGCAGAATTATCATATATGGAAAAATCCCTAGTGATAGGTATTTAAAATTTTTTTTCAATGTCAGTTGATATCAATATTATTTTATATTAGTTTCAAGTGTACAGCATAGTGATAGTTTTTTAAGCACTTGCTCAGTTCATTCTCAGTTATATTTCTGCATTTAAGGAACATAGGTTTTAAAATAGCAAGTGTTGGGCCGGCCGAGTGGCTCAGTTGGTTAAGAGCTCGCTCAAAGGTTTGAGCTCTGAGCAACAGTCCAGCCCGAGCTGAGCTGCTGCTGAGCTGCCAACAGGTGGCAGGATGGCTCAGCTAAAAAAAAAAAAAAAGAGTCTACTAAAATAGCAAGTGTTATCAGAGAAATATGGATGGGTGCAGATTCTCAGAAATGGCCATCTTTGTCCAAGGTGTGTGTGTCTGTCTATCTGCTACAAAGATTTCTTCTAGAGAGAGGCATTGTCTTTCATAAGGGAAGAATCGAATGGAAAGGAGAGTTGACTGAAGTTGGCCTGCAGAGTTCTTAGCCATGGAGTCTCTTCCTGTGATTTGCCGCCTGGTGGCCCCCTGGCCATCCTGGAGTGTCCTAAATGCAGAGTGGGGACAAAGCAAATGTATTGGCCTTGTAATTTCTGGCAGATTACCTGTGGTATGGCCAGCCTGTTGCCCAGATCTGTCCCTCACCTATACCCCTTCCTGCCTCTGCTTGTGTTCGGGGCTCAGCTGCTCTGAGAATATGACTGGGAGAGACAGTGGAACCACGTTTATCTTTTGTAGACATTGTTTTAAACTTTTGTATCCAAAGTAGTTCTCTTTATTCCCTTTGGCGTTGGTGGTCTAAGTGTTGCTGGAGAGTCGGCCTTTCTCAGCGCGATGTCCAGGTCCTTGGCATCTTGAGCAAAGAATTGAATGAGATACCGAGGCAAAGTAGTGAAAAAGCAGTTTATTAGAAGCGAGAGGTACGCTTCAAAGAAATGGAAGCGGCCTGAGCAGTAGAGAATGGCTCAAGGGCCCTGACTAAGGAGGCCTTGGGTGTTTTTATCGCTTTTTCCCTAGAATGGGCTGTTCCTCTCTGGGCATGGGACCACTTGATTGGCACTTGTGATTGACAAGAGGTTATTACTTCATCTGTGCAGGTGGAGTAGGTATTTTGTATCCATTTGTTTCCCAGCAGGGTGGGAAAAGAGGAAGTTTGGGGTGGAGAGGGGAGGTCTCCTGGGGGGTCGCATTGTATGGGTTGTGTTGGAAGTGCAGGAATGCAGAGACCCAATGCCTGCCTCTAACTGCCTGCCTGGTTTTCCTTTTGAGAGACATGATCCCCATAAAATCTCTATGGGAAGCTGAGGGACAGGAGGTCTTTTCTTCTGTATCTGCTTCCTGCTGGGCAGGGGTGTAGAGCTGTCCCTGCCTATTGGGGGATTCACAGAACTCTCACCCTAGCTGATCTCAAATGAGAGGAAGGGGTCTTGAGATCTGCCTGGAAGACCATGTTGGCTTCTCTGGTTGCTACTGGCAATCTTGCTGGGGAATCGTCTGTATCCCCAAGGCCCCTGAATGAGGAAAAATAGATTTTCTATGATTCAGATACTGATTAGAAGAGTAATCAAAGCCAGGAGCTAAGGAACTAAGAAACTAGGGAGGAGACTTAACATTTCTATACTTAACATTTCTACAGGAAAGAAAACTTAAAAGTTTTTTTTTGGGGGGGGGGCAGGTTTACTTGCCCATAACATAAGCACTTAACCTCTCTCTCTATCTGCCACCGAGAAACTCCCCTCCGACTGGACGAACTAGTGGCGTGGGAAGGGGGTGGTTCTGCTGCTGTGATGTTTGCCCCCTCCTTGCGCTGCCAGCCATATGCCCTGTGGTTGGTGTGCTCATTTGAATTTGCCTCCTTAGGAACAAAGTATTACATATGGGTTTGGGAATTTCTTTCTTTGTTTTTAAGCTCCTGATCCAGGAAAATGGTTTTCTTGTTTGCCAACAACCACCCCATGTAGGTGTTCAGATCATTACCTAGTGTGTCTGTTTGACCACTAAGGAATCATTGGGTGACCCCACTCCCACCACCGTATTTAAAATAACCTGTATTTCTGAGCTGTTGACTGTCACTTGAGCGCTTCACAGTGAAAATGGTGGACCTCCGCTCTTCAGATGTCTGAGTAGGTTCCGAGCAGTGTGATGAGTGGTGGGTCAGGGCCAGGGCCCAATGGGTAGCCTGAGGGCTGCATGGCCGTGCCTTCCTCGGGCCCACAAGGCCCCTCTCCGGTCTGGTGCTAGAGTGTCCAGGACTCACCTTCTGCGGCAGCCCCTGTACCATATAAACCCGAGCATTTATGGTTTGGCTTGGTGTGTATGCTTTCTTTGTGTAACTGCCCCTGTTTTAAGCTTTGAAGTGACTGTTTCGTTTGCTGTTAACGTAAAAGTTGTAAGAAGATTCCAGTGATCATGCTGTGGATTAATTACCAAGATGTTTACACCTCTTTTACCTGTCATTTTGAGGAACTGTTTGACTCTTCTCCCTCCCTTAATGGCTTGTAGTCTTTCCTATGTCATAATAAAGGTACATTTTATTCTGAAAACTGGCCAGCTCTGCCTTTCCTATACGAGCAGCCAGACAGGTGCAGGGGACAGGAGGCCCCAGGCTGCGGCCACCCCGGGCGGGTCTTGCTGAGATGGGAGCCCTGCCGAGTGCAGGGGCCAGAGGTGCAGCCTTGGTTTGTGCCAGTGCAGAGCCCTGGGTGCCGGAATATCCATGCAGCCCGCGCTGCCTCGTTTTCTGTGATTAACCTGCAGTTTCTTTGACCCTGTTTTCCTCTAATGGGCATGGTGATGATGTATCCTAGATTGAGGACGACCATGGGCCTTCAGAATTTGATATGCATAAAAGTCACCTGAGGGGCTTCTTTAAATGTGGGAGTCTGCCAGATTTTCATTCCAAGACCTGAGAATGTTGTACAGGGATATGCATCTGCAGCAAGCTCCTCACATGATGAGAAAATAGTGTATAAAATAAATGAGCGAGGAGAAGATAGGCATTTTGTGCTGCCCTTGATTCTGTAATTGGCCCCAGGGCTGCAGGTGACATCCTTCTTCCATTCCCCCTTGTACACTTCTCTTGCCCTCAGAACCTTAGCTGCTCTTTACCCGGTTGACCCAAACCTTCATTTCTGAAGTGTCCTTTTTTGGATGCCATTGTTGCAAGTTCCTTTACTTCTCTTACATGGAAACGCCAAGAGGCACCAGAGAATTTCTTGGGGCTCCGGCCTTAGTCCTCCTGGCCCCATTGTGCAGCTGTCTTTTCAAATTAAATAGAACCAAGGTTGTCTTCCCCAGCGGAAGCGCTGCCTTTGGTGTCTTAAGACCTTCACGTCAGCAAAGCCCAAGGAATAAAAATGTGTGATGGAGTTATTAAGTGTAATAATGCTGAAAAGGACCAGTCTCATGCCCACCCCTTGATCCTCGGACCCAGTATGTCTTGGCTGTGGGGGAGTCTGCACCACATAATAGCCTCTGGTTAAAAGCATAAAAGTCATCCCAGGAGAGGAGAACCCCATCCCTTCACCATAACAGTCTTCAGTAAGCTCAGTGCTTCCAGGTGGAGGTGATGCAGTAAGAACAGTTCTACAGACACAAGCCCTGTGCTGCATGGCCTCTGCTGTGAATCGGATTCCCTGATCAGAAGTGAAACTATCAATACATGGAATGTTGAAATAGTGGATGGTGGTGCTGACAGAGCAGGCAAATCCATATCCAGAATATTGGTTTATTCCAGTGAATACAAGTATCTGCCCCCTCCATGATGGAAGAGGCCCAGGATCATCATATGGAACCTGCCACCAGGTGGCTAGCTGGTCCTCCTAGGAAATGCCATTCCAGGGAGTCAGTGCTAGTCTACTGTTAGCCGGTTAGACACGCTGCATTCGTCAGCCTGGTGATTCTTGGTCAGGGCAAGTCTGTGACATTGAGCCTGTGTAGTCTCCACCAAGCAAGCCTGATGATGGGAAGGAAGCAGACTCCACCCACGAGGCATGCCATTTTGCTTCCCCGATCCTTAAGAGCACCCTTTGTAGGGATTCTCGTGGGTGTCTTCACAGCCTGTGCCCATTTTGAGAGATCTGTACCTGTCCAGATTTTATCACTAATCTTTAAATCGTATTCCAAGTCCTTGACCATCCAGCCAAGCTTTTAGCAACTCCCTATA